CCTCATTCTCCACTGTTTCCTCTCTTACTCACTCTTTTCAGACATTCTGGCCTCCTGGCTTTTCTTTGAATCTGCTAAGTATAATTATGTAATGAGAGCCTTTGCATTTGTAGTTTCCTCTGATTGAAAGGTTTTCCCTAAATTTGCTTGTCCTTATCCTTCTTAAGGTCTTTCTATCTAAAACAGTACTACCCCTGTTGTACCCTTTACTTTTTCTTTAAGATCTCTTAACAATTTGTCATACTATATGTATATTATTTGTTTGTTTCTTTCCGTTCAATAAAATGTAAGTTCATTGTTATATCTGCAACACCCAGGGTTATATCTGGCTGAAGTAAGCTCTCAGATACTTGTTGAATGAATGATCAGTAAAGTGCTTATCCATTGAAATTGTTATATGCATGGTTAAGCATTATGTAGTATTGTTAAGTAAAAACAAATTGCATGTATACAATATTGGATGCCTTTGTCTTTCCGTTGTTTAGATACTGGAAGGCTATGCATCAAAATGTTCATGGTAGTTATCTCTAATAAATGGCATTTTTGTATCATATGCTTTTTAGGATTGTTTTTCTAAATACCTGAGTCATGAGCATGTATTACTGTTATCAATAATTTTAAATTCTATTTTGAAAATTAAAAGAAAAATGTGGTTAATTGGGACCAGCAAATAGTGTAATGGTTATGTCACTGGACTCCCATGCAGTCAACAGTGATATAAGTCCCAGATCACGTGGCTTAAAATTCATGCCACACACGTGTGCTTGCATGCCCAAGATCCTGAGAGGAGAATAGAGGAGAAGGGGTTGCATCATGGCCATCCACTCTGGGGGTTGATTTCTCACTATCTGTCCCTTGTCTCTCCAGCAAGTGCATACACCCTATACTATAGCAAAAAGTCTCTCTAAAAATACCTCCAAAACTGTGGTTAACTGAGGGGCACAGGAAGTTATTAGCAGTAAATGTGTTATTACATGAATGATAGATGGGTACTAGATAATTATTTTAAGGATGCTTTTAAAAAAGAAAAGATTTTACTGGTAGTTTACTGTAAGATAGTTATTATCTTTATAATTTATATCTCTGGATTCTTTAGAGGGAAGTACACTAGTGTGTTAGTGTTAGTGTTACTATAACAAGATACCTGAGAGTGAGTAATTTATAAGCAACAGAAATTTATTTCTCACAGTTCTGAAGACTGGTTGATCTAAGATCAACACACCCTCTTTGCTTCCAAGATGGCACTTGAACTATTGTGTACTCATGTGGCAGAAAAGAGCAAACCCACTCCTTCCAATCTGTCTGTAAGGATCCTAATCTTTTCCATGAAGACTTAACCCTCAGGATTTCTTCATTTTCTAAAGGCTTAATATGATCACATTGGTGACTGGGTTTCAATGGGTGAATTTGGGTGGACACATTTAGATCATAGCATCTAGTAACTGAGCCTTCTTAAATATTGTCTACTAAAGCCTAACACCATAGGGGAAAAGTGTTTTATAGATAAGTCCTGTGAGGGCCTTCTCTTTTGTATCTGCTGTCTCATTTGTGAGAATTCCAGCTATTTAAAATACTTTTTATGATTCTTAGTGGTTGTTTATGTTCACAGTGCTAGTAGTGACTTTTTAGGTACTGGATTAATTATTTTCACCTTTAGATTTTCACTGCTGACCACAATACCTAGCATATAATAGGTGCTTAGTAAATGTTTGTTGAATAAATTATTTTTTTTGATTGACTAGTATAGTAGTAGTCTCTTCATAGCTATCTTTATTAGTAAAAAAATGTTTGTTTGGATAGTCAGTACCTCAGCTATAGGTAAACTTACATGCTAATTTGAGAATTGAGAGGAGGGAGGGAAGGGAAAAAAAAGAAAGAAAAAAACAGATGATTCATCTATTCTATTAGAAAAGACAAATGCATGTATTAAATGACACAACTTCATAGTTTTTTAATTGAACAGTGATTTCATTGGGGACCTTTCTGAGTGACAGGATTTGTTCTTACCCTTGTTTAATTAGGAAAGTATTTTAGCTTCAATATTATGATAAACTAGATGTATAAATATCAGTGCTAATAGCTTAGTATTTTAGTCTTCCACAAATTGATGCCTGTGGTATCTGGGCGTTTTCAGCTTGTTCTTGTAAATAAAGTCTCAGTGATGTTTAAGGAACAGCAGCTTGTGGTCAGAAAAGGAAAATAACTCCATGTTTTCCAAGGAAAGCAATATAAATGGGGCTCAGGAATCCCCCATTAGATCAAAAATCTCCTGGAGAAAGATCTCTTGAGCCTACAAACTAAAGACCTTCAATATACTTTTAAATAAAGCCTTTTATGTAGTAGAGTTTTTTTTTAAGTTATTAATCAATTGCCACTATTATGTAGACTTACTAGATTTGCAAATTTACAAGTTTTTACAAGTCAGTTGGGTCCCTTCCTCAGGAAATCAATTTAAGGTTTTTTTTTTTTTCCTATATTGACTCAAAGAACCTAGTTGTCCTTAAATCTTGTGAATATATTTGCCTTATAATTTGACAGCATTGAGTCAACACCCTTATAGGGTCTGTAGCGTTGTAAACAGAGAAACTGTTCAATAAAGGATTACATTTGAAAAAACAGGCTGTGCTGGATAAAACCACTGTTGGATATGAGTACTGTACTTTGCTTTACAGCATTTGCAACTATCCAGGGAAATACGTTCTGCCCATCACTCTCAAATGAATACTCTGGTTGGAAAGCAACTGAACTTTATCTTTGTGAAATTAAAGCATAGCTGTAAATAAATTAATTTAAATATGTAATGTAATATTCACCTCTTTAAAAAGAAAATTAATGATGTATTTGTGTTATGAAACTCTCAAACCAAATATGCGTGGAGAAATACACTTTACTTGCAGCAGTCATTCATGCTAAAATGCACTATATTACTAGACCTTTTTTGAATGTCATCTATGGACCTGAACCTATAGAAATAAGAATGATGATGGCTTAGATTTTTTGAGCACTTAAATGTTTGCCAGTCATTGTGCACTTTGCACAGATTAATTTTCAGACTCTATATAAGGTGGGTATATTTATTATTCCCAGTTTATAGATGTGGAAACTGAGACACAAACACGGGAAATAAATTGACCAAGATTAAGTAGCTGGTGATTCAGTTGGGATAAAATATTAGAAAGTAATCAGACTTAACCTTGTTTTAAAATGTATTCATCAACTCTAACTTTTAATTCTGTTCTCTCTTTAACACTTTTTAGTTGATTTGGAGCATATGCGAACAGTAAAGACTGAAAAACATTTACGATTTTGCCAGGAAAATGGTTTTAGTAGTCACTTTGTCTCAGCCAAGACAGGAGACTCCGTAAGTAAAATAATGAAAACTACATATTATAAATGACCTTATACATTTATTTACTAATATTATTAGGAAATACACATGCATTCCTTAAGTTTTGGAGCAAATTATGTCTGACTATCCAGTTTAACACATCCAGAATTCAGCTCTTGATCATCTCGCCTCAAATCTCTGTCTCTATTCTTTAAAATGGCAGATGTATTCTGCCACTTTTTCAGGCAAGAGAACTTTGGAGTCATCCTTGGTCTTCTCTCCCTCTTACATGCCACATCTGTCTATCACCAAATCTTGTGGCTATGCCTTCAAAATATGTCCAGAATCTGGTGACTGTTTATGTGTGTGTGTGTATATGTGTGCTTGTGTATGTGTGTGTGTGTATGTGTGTGTGTGTGTGTGTGTGTGTGTGTGTGTGTGTGGCCTTTTAGATAGGCCTGTGTCACAGTCCTCCTGCTGCATCCTCCTGGATAGCTGGGACTGTAGGTACACTCCACCATGCCCAGCTTCTTCAGATGGAGTCTTTCTACGTTACCATGCCAGCTGTGAGCTCACACTCCTGCTTCAGCCTTCCGAATAGCTAGGATTAGAGCTGCTGCATCCAACATTTCAGGGCAGGCTGCAGATCACACCTGGGCCTCCCATGTGCCCTCATCCTCCAGGGCGGCAGCAGCCAGCCTGCATACTGAGGCTAGCCTCTTAACTGTTTTATATATTTCTACTGCTACCACTTTGGTTTAGCCTCCATAATCTGCTACGTTGGTCTTGATGATTTCTCTTCTGTATATTCGATTTTCGATTACTGCTCAATACAGCGATTAGATCGATCCTATTAAAGTGAAACTCACATCAGGCTTCCCTCTCATGGATTCCATTTCAGAGAAAGCACCAAAGTCCTTCCAGTAGCCTACAAGATCCTACGTGATTTTTACCCCTTCATCTCTTGGTTGTCTTCTTTTATAATCCCTCTCAACTCCTCCGCAATGACTTTTCTCCTCTTCCTGAATGTTGACCATCAGTGAACTAAAATGTATTAGGCTTTTAGAGGTATTTTTGGTAAATAAATAAATAAATAAATAAATAAATAAATAAATAAATAAATAAATGAAGTTTAACAAATACTCAGTGAATAATCATGAGATGAGTAGAAGTAAGAATATGGTAGGGTACTTATGAAGCAAAGATAAGTTATTGGAGCACTGGGAATCAGAGTGGGCCCAGAAAAAGATGACAGCATATGAAAAACTGTTCATGGGAAAATATTTATAGATTTAACTGTAAAGGAATATATCATTCTTTCACTCTAAACTGCTATAATACACTAAAGAGTACCAACTTGTTTTATACAAGAGATATGGAGAATTGACTGAAATTGGTAAGAGAGTTCAAATATTATTAAAGAACTGAAAAGTAATACCTTTTAAGACAGGCTAAAGCCAGTTCAAAGAGACCAGCATTGAACTGGCAGCAAAACAAAACAAAACAGGGTAGTAAAGCATGAATGAATTTATTCAGAAATTATGGGAGTTTGTAATGCAAGTAGGTTTGTTTGTTGCTGTTATTTTATTTTTTTAAAGTGGTAGCTGTAAAAGTGATATTTGTAATGCTAGACTTTTAAAAAGAATTATTTATTTAATTTATTATTATTGTTGTTATTATTATTATTATTAAATTTGACCAGAGAGAGAGAGAGAAGACAGGGAAAGTGAGAAAGCAAGCCACCAGCTCTGGGACTCGAACTGTGGTCGGTCATATGGGAGTCTAGTGCCCTAGCTGCCACAACATCTGCTGGCCCCTGTAAAGCTTTAAAAAGGATATGTTTCTAGGGATAAATATAAGTTTAGACCAATTCAGTGAATTGCGTGAATTTTTAAATTATGACTTAATCATTTAAAAAATATTACATTTAAAATGTTGCAGTATTTAACAAATAAAGCTATTTTTTGAAGCATTTGCTACACTTATTTTTGCAGTTCTTGCTGTTTATCATTTTTGAGAAAGTTCATTTATGAAGATAACTTAAACATGCCTGTTTTAAATCATTTAAACCTATTTTTGTTATGCAGGTCTTCCTGTGTTTTCAGAAAGTTGCTGCTGAAATTCTTGGAATCAAATTAAATAAAGCAGAAATAGAGCAGTCACAGGTGATTATTTTGAACTTCATATTTAAAAAGTTAATTTATTATAAGACATTAATTTGTACCCATGACTCCTTTCCCATTTATGCATTTTATGTACATATTTGAAAAAAACCTTGAAGATTAATTAGACTGTGTATAAATTGGTGTTTATGGCAGCAAATAAAGAATGTTAACTTCAGCCAAATTAGGATATCCCTGTAGCCTCATTTTGTCTCTTTTTTTGGAAAAGAGATTTAATATAACAAAAATTGCATCAATGGTAAATTAATAGGTTAAAGTACTGAGTTAATATTGTTTTATACTTTTTTATTTAAATTCTTTCAGGACTATATGTTCATCTTTAAAATATCTTCACTGTAAAAATAGTAGTTCTTGATATTTTATTGTTAATTTAATAATGGGCCATCAATTACTTACTGAAAATTTCTGGATTCTTCCACTATTCCTGGACAGTTCTTAAACTAAGAAGTAAACTTGACAACCAGCAGTAGAGACCTTAAACATACCACTATAATTACACACTGATTCACATGTTTGATGGAATGAATAAAATCAGAGAAAGAGTCTCTAAAAAATTAAGCTTCCAAAGTGGTTTGGTTCGAAGCAACAATGCAATTACGTTTTTCCCATAATTTCCTCCACCCAGCTTTGACTCCATGTATTAATAGCTAAAAAGATATAATTATCTTCCCCATCCCTATTTTTTTAATTCTTTTAGTATTCTGTGTCTTATTTCATTTTTGTTCTTGTGTACATGAGAAAGCATGTGCATGCTTGTGTATAAAAGCAATTAGGACAAATATCAGTGGAAAATTGTCATGTTGGTGTGGCTGTTTTTCAGACTTGATTTAGGTATTTGCAACTCTGGAAATTTGCTACTTAATTGTCATTGTTCAAAGACATTTCAGTACCTGCTATGGCCAGGTACAGTGCTAAGGTATCTTGTGCTATGTTAATAGCTCACATTAAAAATAGTCCCTTAGTTTTGGTCTGAGAAACTACAAGAAAGAAAAGTTGCCGTGATTTACTTGATCACACAGGCCTTGACCAAAGGTCAAGTGATTCCTCTACTTTTTATCTTTGCCTTCTGAACGGATGTTTGTTTCTGGTTAATTGATTTTCCAGCAATTATAAATGACTTATTGATCATATATTATGTACTCAGTATAGTGTAAAGAAGACTTAAAAAGGCATTTAAAATGTAGACCCTACCTTCAGTAAAGAAAGTGAATATATTATGGGCCAGGCACTGTGTTACCTCATGTAACCATTATTATAATTCCGGGGCAGGCGACTTTTCATCATTTTGTACACTCTGAAGAGTTTAAATAATGGGATCACTATGCCATTAGGCAGTGGTGGCCAGGGTTTGACCAGAAAAATAGAAAAAATACATGGATATCAAGATTTTCTTTCACCAAAGTAAACTCATACTTTAATTCAATATTTTAGGAAATGATTGTAGTTTTGAAACAGAAGAGCAATTTGATTAAAATAAATGACCATTCAGTCTGGTCCCATAGTACAGTGATTAAGCTCTATGCTTTGGGTGCTAGATCCCATGTGGCCAACCGTGGTTTGAATCCCAGCCATGACAACTTGAAAAAAATGTTGAGCATGTATGCACGTGCGCCCAGGTCCTGCTGGGGTGGAGAGCTGTAGGAAGGAGCGCAGCTTGACCACGCCCATGGGGAACTACTTCCTCTCTGGTGAGTGCAAGCGCCCTCTGGCAATGGAAACACACCTTACCATTTGTGTCAGAGTGTCAAGGGAGTTTGAGAAAAGACTATGTGGACTTAGGGCTGTCAAGTTGATAAATTTTATCTAGCCTAGAGAAGTCATTTTTAGAAAAGGAAATAATGAAAGCAGCTTTTACATTAAAAGTGGAATATTTTTGTTTGGTTGGATAGGAAGGAAACAGTCTGGAAGACAGGTTTTTTTTTTTAATAATTATTTATTCAATTTCACTTATTACTATTATTATTAATTTGCTATGGGACACATGCACTCACCAGAGACAGACAGAGAGAGAGAGAGAGAGAGAGAGAGAGAGAGAAAGTGAGAAAGTAAGCTGCCAGGTCTGGGACTCAAACAGCAGTCGGCCTTGTGGGAGTCCATGCCTTAACCACCATGCCGCCTGCTGACCTCAGAGACTGCATTATTACTCATGTGATAAGAACCAAGGGAAAGGATGGATGTTAGAGAGATTTCAAGACAAAATCAATAGAACTTGTGAAATGATAGCTAGGAGAGGGAGAAGTCCAAGGGAATCTGAGATTTCTTGCCTGGAATAATGAAGGAAGGGGAAACCCAGAGAGCGCCTTCCCTAGAGGGGAAGGGATTGCTACTTTAGAGGCCAGAGCTTGCCCTGTGGAAAAACTCTGTACTACCCAAGCTGTGTAAGGTGCTCAGGTACGGGGAGACTTTCTGAGAGACAGAACAACTGGGATACTTTTTAAGGCAGAATTTGGAGGGAACTGTATTAATATTCTTATCTCCCTCTTATTGCAACAGCAACATAGTTACTACTTTGACATTAGAGGTGTGCTTACTTAACTTGTTTTAACTAAAGCAACAGTGTGCTAACTATGCAGCTCACTACCTTTCCTGTACACCACACCTTGTTTTTTTGGTCTTTTTTTTAATTACTTATTTAATTTTATTTATTATTATTACTATTATTATTTAATTTGCTATAGGAGACATGTGCTCACCAGAGAGAGAGAGACAGAGAAAGAGAAAGAGTGAGAAAGAGAAAAAAAGTGGCTAGTGCCTTAACCACCACACCACACCTTGTTTCTTTGGCTTTAGGGTTTAATTCTATCTTCAGTTTGTTGATGGAATTTTCTTTTAATTCACTTGAAGGTCAATTGAAGTTACTAGAGCCTTCTATTATGCTTACAGGAATTCTTCATATATGAGAGGTCTCAACATCCTTTTCTGAACCTGATTAATTTGATGCCTTTGCCAGTTACATTTTGATTTCTCAATTGATTATTTCCCAGTGGAAACATTTTTAAAGTTTATTTAAAATACAAGGAAGTTCAGATAGTGCGTGTGTATGCATATGTTTGTTTGTATTGCATGTTTTCTACGGTTTTTATGACACTTGGAAGATTCCCGAGGGTTTTTGAAGTAATGTTTGAAAGTGCTTTGTATTATTTTATGAAGATGGAGTTAAATGACATACCAGTCACATGGAAATTGGCACTGCTGCAGTTCAGTTTGTGACATAAATAACAAAGCTTCAGTTTTAGTTCTATTCACTGTTTATTTAAAGAGAATCTGCTATTTTAGTTCTCACCTAGATTGCTCCTGATTGAGAAAGTGAATGAAATTTCTTAAAGCAGCAAACACAGTTTGAAGGTCTACTTTATGCCAGAGACCAACTAGAATCTAGGGTAGAGAGATGAGTAAGACGAAGTCCCTCTCCTCAGTGAGCTTCCAGAATAAATGGGGCAGGCCAACATTTACAAACAATCAGGTATACACTAGATGGTTGTTTTCATAATTCCATATTTAGTTGATAGTTTCACTGACATCATTTATCCAGTTTTTCCCTTCCTCCTCCCAGTTATTCTTCTTTAAGGTAGTATAAAAACTGGGACTGGTTTCCCAGATTGTTCTTTTTTTTTTTTTTTTTTTTATTTGCAAAGCAGTCAAAGCTTCAGGGAAAAAATAAATTTACAATGGCTGTTCCCTAGGAAACTCAACATTTAGCTCTTTAATAATCCATTCGATAATTTATAAAGAAAATTCATAGTCCTATGTCTGTTTCCCTCAGTCTGAATTGCAGTAAAGTTTTGCTGTGTAAACCTGTTGTGTCTTAATGTATTTGCATGCCTTCACATTTTTTTCTTGCCTTTTAATAAACTATAAATTTCTGTTCGAAGTAGGTATACATTAGTTTCTTAAGAACAAAAATTTCAGGGACTACGGTCCATGTCTTGACCCTGGCAGCTTAAAAGAACACGCAAGGTACATGCATGTGCATGTCTAAAGTTCTGACAGGAAGAAGAAATGGAGAAAAAGAGATTGTGGTGTGACTGAGCCCTCTGGGGGTCTGTGTCTCTCTGACTCTGGTGAGTGTATGTACTCTCTAACAGTTAAAAAAAGAAACTGTCATGTCTGAGGACATTCACTCACTAAGCTTGCTAAAAATATATATCCCTCATTGTTCCCTTGGATTATTTTCACGCTATATATGCAGCTGTGTAACATAGGACACAGCATGTCATAGGCATGCTCAAGATTTTCTTTAAGTCTTAATTAGCATGTAACTTTATAACACAAGCACCAGTTTAACCCTTGATGCTAAAGGTCCTCACTGCTTTTCAGTTTTATCTGAATATTGATCTTCCTTCTGTAAGAACCTGTTAAGAGACTTAGGTTCTCACCCAGATGTTCACTGGGTTTTTTTGGACAGGGTCTCACTATATGATGATGTTCCTCACTCTGCTTCCCACGCAGCTGACATGCTGCTTTGCAGTGCTCAGCTTTTCCAGTGGGCTGGGAATCAAACTTGGGCCTCCACGTGGCCTCAGCCTACCAAGGAGCAGCATCTACCAGTATGTGCTACCATCACTGGCCCCTATATATTAATTTAAAAAATTTTTCTCTAATATGTTTATGAAACTGTATTGGAACTTCTTTCTAATTCTAAACACTGTTTTTGTCTTCAAGAACATATTTACTCATTTTGTACACACAATTTAACTCTCAGATATGAAACATTTTTGGTGGTTTTTCATACTGTATTTATTTCTGTATTCTATTCATCTTTTAATTTTTCCACAAAATTTCTTTTTTTATTTTTATTTTGCTATTAATAAATTATTTTTTAATTTTTTTCAATTTATTTATTTGCATTCATTCACTGTACATCATTACAGCATACAAAATGAGATTTTCCATCCAGAGTACACTGTATATTGTCTCAATCAAGCACATCAACAAACATGTTATTGTCAGCAAATAATCTTCCATTTCTTGTTTTCTGTATG